CTATTTAACGTGTTTATCGCGTCGTGTTGTATGCTAAACGTTTATCTTGTTTCGTTTATTCATTAATATTTTTTTTTTCTGGTGCACAAGTTCATCAATAAATATACGTTATAAAAATAGGTTTCTCACGAATGTAAATAATGTTTTTTCTGTAGTCTTTTGCCCGCGGTGCGTTTAGCTGTTGTTTTTTCGGATTCGCGTTGACAAATTTATAACTTCTGGTTCGGTTTTTTTTTTAACGCTTATACAAACAAAAAACCGTTCGAAATGTACATTTTACATTTATACCACAAATTTCCGAGCATATCGTTTCTAGTTGTCGAGAAACGAATAACGTTTAATGCGCATAAGTACCATGGACGATTTATTACACTTCGTCGTGTTTGCACTCGTCACCAAGTCGACGATAATCATGACGTTTTTATCATCGTTTCAACTGTGACTGGCATTAACTTGTCGTTTATTTGTTCTCAAACGGACACCGTATCGTTTACGTCTTATCCGTTCGGTTTTTTGATTCGCGTTTCGATAGAACCAATGATGTCAGTCGTCATAATACCGTTTTAAACAAAAACACGGTATCGGACCGTATTTAACGTCGTTTTTTTCAAACGCGTGAAACGATAAACGAAAAACGATTCGTGTGTAGAGATTTCGAAACGATATGCCGTTGTACCGAACAAAACGTGGAGCGCAACGTTAGTTAAGCTATCCCAACCCTACGCGTGCTAAAATAATAATGACAATAACGGCAATAATGTGTTGTATGTTAAGCCGCCGTGTGTCGTCTGACATTTTTGGGATGACAATAGTAATGATAATAATATTATCGCTTATGGCGAGGCACCGTGACGTATTCGACGACGGTTTTCATTTTAGTGCGTTACCTCGTCGCGCGTTGAAACGCGCGCAGACGTTCATCGTGTGCAAACGTGTCGTTTGACATTTCTTCCGACGCGTTTATCGCGCCCGAAGGAACCGAAAACATTTAAATCTACGTGATTTAATCGTCGCGCGACGTCACGTACGCAACCGCAAGGGTTATTGTTGCGCCGCGTTCCCTATATTGTTTTTCCAGTTCCGTCGATTTATCATTATTAATGCATTATTTTTTTCGCGTACTGACAATAGGCAGGGCTGTTTAGAAGGGGGAGGCAACGGGGACCATTTTTCCCCAGGCCCCAATGTTGTTTTAGGGGGCCCCGTCAATCATTATGTATAATAATTAACAATAAAGCCTTGATTGCACTGAACATATTTACATGCTGCGTAACTAATGTGAACGAGTAATATGTTCGATTAATTCGAGAGATTAAATTATAAATAATACGAATAATATTCAATTCCATCATATAAGTATGTAATGCGGTACATGCATTTGAATGAGCTTGATCGGGTAAGGTTTGGAAAACTACGTTTGCAAGAATTTTTTATTTTCAGTCAGTATTTTTTATCATATCTTATTATTAGATCGCGGATTACATGCATTTGCATATCTGCATATGTAACTGCATATAATCGCTTTTTTTTACTTAGTATGCATATTTCATCGATTCATGATGTAAATGGCATGTTATTATTATATTTTCAACAAGAAACACACTGATTGAATGTGTTAAAACACATACTACACATATATTTTTTTAATTTTTTTTTTTTTTATATAGACATTTAGTCAATACCGACCACCGAACTAATTGACCGGACGAGTTTCTACTGCCGTCGTTATGTATAAATAATAAATCGAGTCTAGTCTTTAGACTAGAAAAACTTTAGTCTAGTCTTTTTTTCTTCTTATTAGTCTAATTGGTAATTAATCAATTTAAAAGTTCTGACGCCTTTCCTATCCGTGATACCAAGGAAGCATATGAAACCCCGTCAATACAACACGATTTAAATCTGATTTATACACATTTTTGTAAAATACCAAAACTAACTAAAAGTCTTGAAACAAGAAATTTACTACAATCCATGGCTTCTACATTTAAATACTGTCCTGTAATGTTGAACGGTCATTTTCTGCATTTAAATTTATTTTGGATGACAAGCGCCATAGTCTTACCATGGACCACTTGGAGCAACATTTAGTGATATACTGCTACGAGAAATATAGTTCTACATAAATATAAATAAATGTAATATAATAATTATTTATTATAATACATTTCATCATTATAATTCTTCGGTATTTTTTTTTCAATTTAATTTGTAGCGCATATTTTAACATAATCTATACATATTTTTGTATTTTATGATGAACATTTGCATGCATGTAATAGAGTATATTCACTGCATATAATCCGCAGTCTACTTATTATTATGGTCGAAGGTCCCCAAATTAATCTGTTCGTTGCCCTCAAAAAACCTGGCAGTAGGTGCAGTGCATATCGCCAGCATGCGGATGAGAGTTATACGATTCTGAACAACGGTTTTGTACATCAGTGTTATTGTTAGTTTTACACGTTCTCGTGTTGCGATCAATCCCGCTTATCCAACAGCGGAAATTCGTACAGGAGTGCTGATAGAAATACATTTTGACAATTGTCATTAGTCAGGTGTACTATGTGAAACGTAGTTTAAGATAACTTCCAAATTTTCTTTACATTTGCGAAAAATACACATTAAATTTCCAATCTAAATGTATACTTAATGAAATATCCGGGCCGATTTATAAGCTCAAAGTAAATCAAACAAAAAAAAAAAAAAAATTACATAATCTAAAATTATCAACTACATTGTAAAATAATTTTATATTTGTTTGAAATTTAAAATGTAAACATTTTGTTAAAAAACCTTAATCGTGATCGTGATTATTTAGATTTAAATAAAACCGTTTTTAGGTATGAAATAATAATAATTAAAAAAATATATTTATTCGAATGAAACTTCAAAGACTTAATTTTAAGACATCGATTGAAGAAGTCGTTTCATGGGCGTATTTTAGGGGGGAGGCGAAAGGGCGATCGTCTACCCTGATTCCGTATTTAAGGACTTTATTATATGTGAGGCATACATCTCAAATTTTTTTAATGTGGATCATTTTATAATGAAATATAATTACGCGTAGCTGTGAATACCGGATTGACCTTTTTGTCGGGTCCATACTTAGTGAAAAATCAAATAAAATATAAGCGTAACTTTTAATACAGACAGGTGTTAAAAAAGAACTGTATAAAAGTTGATTTTAAGTGGATCCGTCATTAGATTAAAATAATATCACAAATATTAAGGGTTCACCTGATTTAAATATTACCAACAATTTCACTTGTATATTTTGAGCTTGAATTAAACAAAAATTTTGAGTCCCTCCCCTCCTAGTAGTAAGTCTAAACACTCCCCTGAGTCGTTTTGATTCTATATAAAAACGATGAGCGTTGCCATTACAATACGCGGTCGCGTTAATCTTCTTGGCGTTTCTGTTTATCTGGATCTAAAACTAATAACACGACAATTACATAGGCGATAATTACAGATATCTTTGGCCATTTGCTCAAATTCTTTTAAACGGACGCGTGGTGTTTTCTTTTAATTTTCAGTAAATTTCTATCAACCGCAATCGGTTGTAAATGGTCCGCGTTTCAATAGCAACGAAAAAATTTAGTTTCGGAAAAAATTCGATCATCTACAATGTGTTAAAATATAATATATTATATCGTTATAGAACAATTATTGTTATTATTATTATAACAGTATTTAATTGTATCGTAATTGTATCGTGATTGTCCAAATTTTATTGTCTCATTATACAATTTATTGATAAAATTATTGGTTTGCAATATACGATGTGGAGAATACAATTTACTAAAACAGAAGTTGATGATGCAACTAAATCAATTATTGATTATCCGATCGACATAATCGACCACGTAGATAGTAATGCTTTTTCTGTGCATTGTATTCTTTTGTATTCTTAGCAAATTTCCACTTAAATTTTACTATTTTTTACCGGTTTCACGTCATTTTTCGTTCGCAATACACTATCATTCATGCTGCGCATCAGTTTTACTCATAACTCATAGTCAATAGTGAACACAAAACTCGATCAAAGCTCGAATAGCGCTACACCCGGTAAATTTAGTGGTATGGATAATAAATCACGTCACCGCTGTCGAATAAGCTAAAAACATTGGTATTTCTTTGTGAACTGTTTGCAATCGCGCATTGTCCTTATAAGGATGCGCTGTTAATAAGGCGCAGTAGTGGCGGCGGTGGTAGTGATGAGTCGCGCGACGCGTTTCGGTCGCAATGGCCGAGCCCGCGGATCCGATTTCGGCCGCGTTTCGAAAAAAAAAAAAAGAAAACGGGGCCCGCGCGGCTTAACAGCCCGTCGAAGGGATTGACGGGGTCGGAAAGGGGGAGGGGGAGGGGGCGCGGAGGAATCGCGAGCGTTCGGCTGCGGTGCACCGGGACTGCGTTCCGACGGAGCGGGTAACGCACACACAATACACAAACGTACCCCGTTAGCGGGCAAGTCGGAAATCCAGGCCTACCCGTCGGATCTGCGGAGCGTCCGGAGCGACAGAAGAGCCGTGGGCGCGAGGGTCGGGCGACAGAGACGGGAGGGGAAGCGCGCGCGCGCCGACGACCACCAACACACTAGAGCACCGCCACCGCTAATACTACCGGCACCGCGGCCACCGCTCTTTCTGGCCAACACTACCGACCGCCGAGCGCAACGCGTACCGTACGCGCGCACCGACACCAGCACAGCTTTTCACCCCTTGGCACCGTTGCCCGCACGCACCCCGTCGAGCGCCGCCGCTACGGTTGCTCGTCATTCCCGGACCACCTGTTCGATCGAGTCCGCCGCCGCCGCCGATATCGTCGTCGTCACTGCCGTCGCAGCACAGCCGTCGCACCAGTCGTCGTGTCGCCGTGTCGCGCGCGCTTTTCCGCCAGTTCGTATTCGCACACGTCAACTCTGCGTGTTTGTGTGCGGGCAGTTTTTCGAATCCCGTTTTGTTTCACCGTCGTCCGATTTTTTTTTTTTCCCTCCCCCTTTCCCCTCCCCCCTATCTGTCTTTGCTGTCCGTCGGATACGTTTCCCGACGGTTTTCGCTGTCGTCGTTCCGTTTCGCGTTTCCGTTACCGTCTGCTGCCCGACGTCCGTCCGAGACATGCTCGCAGACCGCTGCGGCCCTCGCTCCTCGTCGTCGTCGCGGTCCGTCGCGTTTCATCGCTCCGAGTGCGCGTGAACGTCGCGCGCCGCGTCCAAATAGCGCGGGCATGGAGACCGGTTGACACCGGAACGCACACGGTTCTGCTGCAGGTTAGTCGTGATCCACCCTCACGGTTTTTTTTTTTTTTTTTTTTTATTTCGCGCACCCTTGTCGACGCCACATCTATTGCGGTCGTCGGCAAAAAGAAAATTCAACGAACCGCCAAACTCTATTTACGTAACACAACGCGACAGTTGTCGGTTTTCGAATTGTTCCGGCTCGATCGAAGACGGCCAAAGTTCTGCGCGCTTAAGTCGTTTTCGGTCGTTCGTCGCGGTTAACCGCGCGATATTGAAGATTTCGACGGATTATAATCAGACTTGTTCGCGAAACCAATCGCGCTTACCAAAACGATTACCCATTAATTTTCCATTAATTGTAATAAATAAATACGTATACGTTTCGTATCGTCGTCGAGAGCAGGCCGAAAAAACGATTATACGTTACAAGTAAAACAGATAACATAAATTGTAGACGGCTTTAATTAGCAATTGGATATAATTTGTTTTCTAGAAATTACGCGATTAATCACGTTTTAAGAAAACAATTATAATTACTTTGGTTAAATAATTGTGAATACTACGGGTTCACGTAGTTTAATTAAAAGTTATTCTATACGGCTGTAAATGTAATATACACAGCTCAGATCGAAAACCATACTCTTCTGATATTTATTTTAATTTTTAAAATATTTCAATACAAGACCAAAAACAAAAAAACATTTCAACCCGAGTTATTTCATCAACAACATAGTTTGTCTTTTAATTTAATTCAAGACAGTTGTAAGAGTAGTTTTATTAATATTTTTCACTGGTTTTAGTTCTTATATGATAAAAATGCTGTAAAAATTATAATTTAATCGAAACTTAATGTACACACATAAGTAAATACAATTGATATCGCTTAAATTATGTTATAGATATATTATACGATTGCAATTTTGTAAATTTAAATTATTTTTTGTAATTTTATTTGATATATTCATAAATGATCATTGACAAGTGTTTGTTTTTCGTTTGCAATTGACAACAAAAATAATAATAAGAAAAAAAATCCAAAGATTTCAATTGACTTTATGAAGAAAAAAAAAATTAAAATACGAAACGGCAGGCAATCGAAGGTGAGTTGAATTCCGTTGTTTATTGCAAACTATAGTTTGATTTTCATTATTTCAATTCGAAATTTGAATTCGTTATTGGTTATTGTTGAATATTGAATTTGACATTATTTTATTTATATTTATGAAATAATTTTTTTTTTATGCTTCCGAGTTGAATATAAACATTTTTAATACAAATTATTTTTTTAGAACACAACTAATGCCAGAATATCTACTGGTGTCTGATTTTAACATAGTTTTTGAAGTTGGCTTATTTATTTATAAATATAATTTTTCTTTTCCTGAACGATAAAAAACTTATTTAAATCAAGAATCATCTTTTAATAGACATTTGGATAAAAAGTTTTGTTTTCAAAAGTAATCCGTTTCACAGAAAACGAAATATAGTGTCCATTTATGATTACAACAAACTTTTTCTAACCTCCTTAGCATTTAACAATTTTTCTTTTTTGATATACTTTATTTTGTCTAACTAAAGACGGATAAGTGTGCGCCAACGATGATTTGTATTTATAAAGTTAAAAACAAGAATTAAATGTTGGTTAAGAATGTAAAATCAGTTTACCGGTAATTTTTAAATATTACTCATTCATTTTTCAAAAAAAATATATTATTTATATAATATAATTTTTTTATTAAATATAACTTTTATTCATTTGATTATTAAAAAGTGCGACAAAAATATTTTTCTGAAATTTTCGTTATTAGTTTTATGTGTGATTAACTATATGCGATGTATGGTTTACTGAAAATGAAAAATTAATAAGATATTTATTTCAAGTTAATAAATATTTTCCATAATTTTAAAAAATGTCTTATACTAATGTAACATAATAAAACAAAACATGTAAAAATGAAATGATAAATTATGAATAATTTTACTAGCAGAATATATCAAATAGATTCGTGAGACTCATTATTTTATCGACCACAATACAATGTAAGCATATTAAATGAGAGTGTACATACATCGTTCAGCGAGATGATTGAATTAGTAATTTTTTTAGAAATATTTATTTTTATACATTAATGTTTGATTCTTATCATTATTGGAATTTATATTTGTTAAAATATTATTTTACGATCTGTTGATTTTTACCATAAAATAAAATAATGACTATATTTAATATCATCTGAAAACTAAAGATACAAGGTATTTGTCGGTAGTTATTATAAGAAAATTGTATTATTCAAACCACCGAATAATAAATAAAATAAAATAATCTAAGTTGGTGTAATGGAAATTGCAATAATATATATATATAAATGAAACATAAAAATATACCATAATCTACTACACTTTTATAAACTGACTAAACAGTCTCATTTATTTAAATTTATTTAAACTTTATATTGCCATACCTATAAGAGATGACTAAGGTACTTTAAATTCTATAATGAATTTAAATTAATTTATTTACAGTTAACAAGTTTTTGGTTGAAGAAATATATCAAAAATTAAAAGTTTTCAGAAGAAACATTTTTGTTTCCAAACGAACATTTTTTTTTCAAACATTACATTATTTGTCACCTAATATTATCAACGGATTTAAATGGACAGTAAAAAATTATAACTTTTGAGAGTTAAAAATATGTATGTATGTTATAATGAAGGTATATTTTTTTAATTATTTATAAAATAGTATATTTTATTGTTTCTTAGTATTTACTCGTAGGTTAAATTTTTTTTTTTTGATTTTAACTATCATAAAAAAAGTTAAAAGATAAAATCACTTAAATACGATCAAACATATTAGGGAATTTATAAATTAAGAAGTAAAATTAAATTTCAATGATATAAAAAAAAAAAAAAAGAAAAAATTACGAAGCTAATGCACTTAACAAAATCTATTAATACTATAATAATTTTTATAAAATTAAACTTTATTTGACTATCGAAATACTATGAACTACAATATTTATATTTTCTTACTATACACAAATAATCAAACTTTATTTTTAACCAAGTATGTACTTGTTCTGTTTATTTTTATCTTTTATATTGCACTGCATAATAATATGATTACTCAAGGTAAACCTAATGATCTCATGCGAAAATGATATTATAACATCAACAAATGGAGTTAGTAAGAAATTAATTTTCTTCTTATTTACATTTTATTCTTATATTTAATACGAAGATAAAGTTTCAGGTAAACTTGTTACATGGACCTTTTATAGAATATAATACTATTCGTATTATTTCATGGCGATTACCGTCCATATTATAAATGTAGGAAGTCGTGTTGATGTATAATGTACCTGTAATCGGTTTTATCAACAAGTATTTACACGAAAACAAATTTGAAACTTCTATTCTTATCTATCCTTGTTCAATGAGATCTTATTAATTCGGAATCAATATTAAATCTATAATAACTCCGACTCGAAATACAATGTGATAATTTTTATTTGTATTTTTTTAAGAGTAGGTATGTAAATGAACATAAGGAAATTATTGAGTTTAGATAATTATTTAAAAGTTCTCTTCATCGCTTGTGTTCAGTTAAAACTAGATATTATTCTACTATTATGGTTTAATTTCTATTGTTGAAAATGTATGTAAATATCTGATTCAATCAAACTTTGTTAATGATCATTAAGTTATACATTTTCCCATTAAAAAGATTTATAATTAAGAAGTTGCAAGAAAAAATAGTTACTAAGAAAAAACAGTTATGTGATGATCCATCGTTTTTAATGACATATTCTAATTAGAAATTTACTTTTAATAAATTCATGAAGCATGGCAAATAATCAACATTTGAACAAAATACTAGAAAAGTGCTACCTTGAAGAAAATTTTTGATTGACACTCAAATTATAATTGACAATTTAATACACGTTTTTATGTCTTTCATCATTTTTTATTGTTAATAACACCGTCCAATGTTAACGTGCGGTAAACCGAAAAAGTTATATTATTTAAGCTTTTAATATCTATACTTAATTAATCTAGACATAATATTAAACTAGGTACCTTACGAGGATAAATGTTTTTTTAACTTGTTCGTTCAGATTGTAGATATGATTCCATAAAAGAAGAAAATAATAATAATAATAAAATCACGTAATTTATTGTGGTTAGATAAAAAAATGTCTTAACATTATGGTCACGCGATTAAATTGTATAAACTCGCACTGTCTGTCAGTTAAAATCACCTCACAACATTTTCTGAAATTGTCGAGAAAATGTAATACGCTGTGTTTCGATTAAAATCTTAAAAGAATTTTAACGTTTATATATAAATGGGTACCTAGAAGTGCGATAACGGAGACGTGTCTAAAATCCGGTACTGAAAACATATATTAAGCGAAACATGTACACCATGTGTAACATTTGTATACGGCGAGTAACTCGAGCGGAGTGAAAAGTGGACCGAGCAACGGTTGGATAGATTAGTAATCGGGACTATACCGTCTTGGAAAATGAGGTTAATCATGTATACGAGTATTACTAATCTGAGTAAAATTTGGCGTGTTATTACAATATTGTAATTCTTAAGTATTGAATGTCTAAAAAATATATAATGAAAATATTGTTGGTCAATTTAGCCGAGACAATTTAGACAGTACGTTAAAATAAAATAGAACTTCAAGTCTTGGAAAACAAGAAAACGAAACAAACATTAATAGGTACCTATTAAAAATAATAAAGCGACGTTGCAAGAACTGAAACGAACCACTTGTTAATATGTAAAATATTCATAAAAAATGATCGGTTGAAGTTTTTGAACGCGATAAGATTAAATCGTTAAAAACGCTCTTGAATGTTATATTCTAAATCTTGATACACACGCATTTTATCAGCATTGTAAAGATAAATAAATAATTCCCTATCCGTAAAATGCACGTATAACGTTTTACTGTAGGTTGAACTGTAAACGTATATCATATAACCAAATACTAATGATGGTTGATTCGGTTTAT